AGAGCCAAAGTAGGTTTGCAGTGACATTGGTGCCACCCTGATTTTAGTTCCCCTCTCTACCTCACACCCCCCAGAGGAATCCAAGTAATCAGACACAGCAAGCAGTTCTGTTGACAACACTCACAAAGTACCTGCTCTCAGCTGAAGTGGCTGTGCTTATCTAAGAAATGAAAAACGGGCATTTTTGCCCCTAAAGATTTGATCCAGTGCATACTTAAAGCACTTGAGTAATCACACTGAAGCTGGATTTTCCCAGTCATCCAACCCTATTCCCTTTGCCATCAACGATGAAACTTATGGTGTAAAAAGGACCCTTCCTGAATATCTGCCCCTGGATGTCCTCCACTTTGTGTCCCTGCCAGCTGAGAGCTCCTGGTTGTCAAAGTCATTTCAATCCTTGTACAAATGTATGAGGCACTTGCTTCAGACTGATTGGGAAGGCTTTCCAATTTCAAAAGTCTGCTCATTCAGGCATCCTTCTGCCGTGAAAGAATTCTTCCTTATTACAAGGTTTTTCCACCTTAAATCTCTCACTCCAGTTGGGTTTTGAGATCCAGACCTGCTATTTTAAGGTACACATATGCACACACACACATTGTTATGCTGCAGAAGACAGAATCCCTTTTTTTTTTTCACAGGGTTTTGTGTTTAATAATAGCTTCGTGGGAGATAATCCAATCTTTTTTTTTTTAATTAGGATGTACTCTGTATTCCCTTCCTGCTGCCTCTGACAAAGCCCCTCCCTCAAATTAATCAAGAAATATCTTTGAGAGATAGGAAACAATTAAAATACAATTCCTGTCAGGGTGAATAAATCTAAGTGACAGTGAAATTAGTTGTTCAGCATTATCACTATCAAAGCTGAACTTCACTTTAAATGTAAAACATGTCTGATAAGCACTATTACATAAATTAAACCACAGATTTTTTTTTTAAAGCGCATATAATAAGAATGCTCTGGCTGTCCAGTAGCTCTTTAACAGGGTGTCTGCTATCAACCAGTTATTATGATAAGTAGAAGGGAGCATAATCCAGAGGTAATTGGATTTGCTAAATCCAGCTCAAGTTTGGCTTTGGTTCTGGCACCTGTAACAATGGGGGCAGCTGCTCTGGACTCCGATCAGATGAGTACTATTAAGATCATTAGTACAAGCCATCAGAAGCTGTGTAAGGATAATCACGGCTGCAGGATGCAGGATTTTTTGTTTTGCTTGGGAGTACTTATTTTAAAGTAACTTTGAACTTTCCCCAGACATGTATCCCAAAAAGTACTACTCAGCTTCTTTCTAGATTATGAGGTCTAATCATCTTAATACCAGCTAGGGAATTTCACCCAGTCATTCCTGCATCAAGCCAAGTCATTTTTAGTTGAACTAGAGCATATCTATTTTTTTAAGAAGCATCCTATTTTGATTGAAAGATGACAGGTGACAGCAGAACCCTCCTACCTCTCTCAGGTAAACAGTTTGAACAGTTCATTCTCTTGCTATTAAAAATCTGCCACTTATTTTTAGCTTTGAACTTATCTGGCTTGAACCTTCCAGCCACTGGATCTTGTTATAACTCTGTCTCCTAGAGTGAGGAGCCCTTTCCTAGAAAAAAAAAAAAATGCAGTCACATTTAAACCATGATCAAATCATCTTTCAGTCTTCCCTTTGCTAAACTAAACAGATTGAGCTGTGAAAGTTTCCACTAGAAAAAACTCTTTCCAGTCCTTGAATGATTCATTATGAAGAGTGGACATCAAAGCTGAGACACAGTATTCCTGTGATACTTTCACTGAGGCTGCATATAGAGCTCAGGCCACTGACCCCCTCATCTTAAGGCAGACGGTCTTATTTCTATAGCAGAAATCCTTTGGTAATGTATTTTGTACAGGCAGTCTCCTTCCCATATGCACAGGCCCAATTTTCCACTGCTTTGCACCCTGTGTTTTGCAAACTGAATGTACATTGCTCCTGCATCAAAGATGCAAGAGATGGAAGTGAATAAGGTCTATAGCACTGGACAGATTTCAGCCGTTTTGTGTCGGCTGGGTTCAAACAACTAGGGACTCCTCTTGGAATGAACAACTCCGCCACCTAGAGGTAGAAACATAGGAAATACCTTCAATGACCAATACCTGCCCCCTCCTAAGCACTGGAACTGTATACAAAACAGAAGACTAACGAGGGGAAAAGGAACATAGCGTGAACTTGGGAAAACGCATCCAACAAATCAAGTGGATGCTTATGCAAAGAGAGAGTAAACACCTGTCCCCACAGTATCTTGGACAGTGATTTTTTACCTCAGTTTCTCTATCTCCTCATGTGAATATTCAGTGTGTAAAGGTTTCCATGATTCCTCACTCCACCCCCACCACCTCTTGCCTTCTAGTGATACCACTCCCAGTTTGTCGTCTGCACCTAGCAAAGTCCCAGTGCCATGGACTGCATGCAAGCAGGTCTGTCTCCAGACTCTCACCAGGAGTGCTGCCTCACTTCCACAAGAAATGCCTCACTGCCGTTGACTTTAGCCACAACTCCGTTTCTCACCATGCTGCCGCCTCTAGATGCGGTGCCATCTCTGCACCACTATTTTAAGCTATAATGCCTGTGTTGCTGTGGTTCGGTCTGCCCGTACATCACAACCACCACCTCACTACTGTAAGGGACTGAGTGCCTCATTACTGCTTCTACTGCATCACCACACTGTCTTCACCCACAGCCCTGAGGCCACATCCTAAGGCTCTGCCATCTCAGCCAGCTGTAAGCAACTTCAGTTATAGGGACTTCTGGAGAGGGAAGACTCTCCATAGTCTCTTTGGCTGCACAACCCTAGTAAGGGACCATATAAGAAAAGGTTTGAAACAAGGCACTTTAACAGAGTCCTCATCTCCCTATTCTTATGTAATCCCCACTGTCCTCCTTGGCTTCCATCTCACTACTTTGTAATTCAAAACGAAGGTACGGGTTAGGGTAACCACTCAACAGCATATTAAACCTAGATTTGCTGCCCGTTAGTCACACAACACAGATGAGAAAAATCCCATTACCCCTCCCTCCAAGATTTATGAATTTTAACCAAAACAGCCAAAATTATTCACCCTTGTACCAGCCATGCAGATAAGATCTGGTCATTCTGTAGCTTCCTCTAGTTCACCAGCAGAGCTCATCTTCTCTAGAGCAGGGGTAGGCAGCCCCCAGCACAGGTGCTAGTGTGTGGAACATGGAGACATTTTGCTTGGCGTATGCACCTTAGGGTGGACAGTGGGGAAGAGGCTGAGGCTATGATGCCACAACAAGGAGTGGGCCCCTTGTGGCTGCCCTGCCATCCACCCCTGGCACACCTACTTCTTACAAATTGAGGTTGCAGATGTTTTTGGCATTCTGCCTAAAAACAGTGCCAACCCTTGGTCTAGAGAGCTCAATCACAGAGTTGAGATTAAAAAACAAGAGGCTCTATAACCCAGTGGAGGGGGCCCTGGGCTGGGACTCAGGAAATGTGAGCCTTGTTGCTAATTCTGCTGGTCACCTTGAGCAAGGCTCTTCATTCCCCATTTCCCCTCTCCACCATTGCGCGTCAGACCATAAGCTGAATGTCTCTGTACATTTGTACATCCCCTCATACAACACGGCCCAGAGCTTCTTTGCCACCGTAAACAAATAACAACACATGGATAAAGAATTCAGCTGGTCCATGACACCAGGGAACTCATTAGCATGAAGATTAGCATGAGGCAAGGATTGTGTGGCATTTGCCATGCTGGCAGGGCAGACTCTAACAGCATGCTTTGTGTGTTTTGAATTTTATTATCTACAGAAAGCAGAATTCTCAAAGAATTAGAAAAGCAGGACATTCTGAAGGCTCCAGTGTGGTGTTATTTTTGACGACTCAGGAGATGACTTCCTTTCACTCCATATGCTCTATCTATCTTCCCTGCTTTGTGTGTGCTATTCAGATAGGCAGGAGACTGGTACTGGGAAAAAGAGATGAAATAAAAACAAAAGCAAAGTTTAAATACAGGATTGTTTATGGGCTAAGATCACGTGTAGTCCCTGTTCATGTCTTGGCCTCTTGAAAGCTCAGGACAAGCTTAGTGGCTTCTTAACCTGGCGGGGGAAATACTATGCATCTGTGTCCATGAAGGCAGTTTTCCTGAACTGCATCACAGGAAAACTGCTCTTCTGGTATGGTTCAGTACACGTCAAGGTGTAGCAGCTTTAAGCCCAGTTTATGGAAATGGGAGTCTCCTCCCTTGCTTGTTCTGAGGGCCTTATGGCTCTAAGGGAAAGCAAAACTTTGGAGCATCTGAACCCCAAGCCTCTGGGCTACAGCCTGCAAATAGGATGATCACCAAAGGATTTGGAAACATCTGAAGCCTGAGGTGTGGGTGGAGGAAGTTTGCCAGTAGCAGAGACACTTATGGTTCTGGACTCTTGGATTTGGAATTAGTTTTGGCTAATTTAGCCTTGGATACAACTTTAAAAAAATACAGGATACAAAAGGCTCCTTTCAGTACAAAGCAGTACATCATTCGGGTTACCAGCTTTGATGGCCTCTCAAAGTAATGCTTTTGAATATTTTCCCTCAAAGAACGGCTAAAAACTTGGGACCCTTTCCTAACTTGAGGTGAGGATTTGAGTAAAGCCATGAATAAGACCTGCGAACAAGACTGCAAGATACGTAACTATTATCATCCATATCACAGCATGGCTCAGATGCTCCAGGTGAGATTGGGGCACCACTGTAACAAGTGTTGTGCCAACATATGATTTGTAAAGGCTCAGACAGAACCATATTGAAGATAGGCTCCAGAAATGGTACATCCTGGACAGATCTGGTTATTCCACATCAAAGGACTCAGCAGAAGCATACAGGCTTAGAACAGGGCACTGGGAATGATTAGGGACATGACAGGGACAGAAACCCTCTGGCCTCATGGCACAGGCCTTTGAGTAATGGGAGCTAAGAGGTAAATTTCCCTGGGTACAGCTGATCAAAACACTGCCTACTGTAGGGTTTTCTCAACTTTCTTCTGAAGTGGGAGATAGGTAGACTGTATGTCTAATTCATTCTCATGCCCTGAATGTAGAACCTGTCTCAAAGTGCCTGGTACCTCTGTTCAGATTCACTTCTCCCTTCCAGAATGAGGGTGAACTGGGAATGAAGAAGGAAAGAGTACTCATCAGTTTATATGCAAGCTATGTAACCCTTTCCATGTTGGGGTAATGTCTGCTGTAAAATGGACCCCAGCACTCCTCTCCTAAACAAAGGCTGCAGTCTTCCTATACTGCTTGACAATCTTTTTTCCCTCGCCCCTTACCAAACTGACCAGAACTGATACAAGGCAAGTTTGCCATGTCCCACACACACCTGTTTCAAATAAGAACCGACTGTGTGATTTCTTATAACTCAGATCTGCAGCTGTTTTGCCATCAATCTTGGGAGGGATTCCAGGAATCTTACTGTGTAGAGAGGTAAGGTGACATGGAGCAAGTCCTTAATGCAAATCAGCTTTGTTTTGCATATCATTTTTCATACACGTTTTGCTGAAAACCTGCACTATGTTGAGTAACACAGCTGCCAACTTCAGCAGTGAACAATAATGGACAGCGAGAGGAATTGAGAGATGGGGAAAGGAACATTTGCAGAAATTTGGAATCAAAGAAGCAAATGAACTGATGAGGGGTGAGGCTGAATGAAGAGAACAGTGCCCTTCCCATGGCTTTGAGCCCTGGTTCTGCCACAGTTGGGTGATCTTAGTAAATAATTTTCTCTTTCCTTCTCTGCCTTTATCTGAGATACTGTGACTAGTAAGTATGAGTAATTACTGGACCAGATAAGTGATGGCATGAAACTGCTTGATTTGGCTACTTGGGGTCTTGCCCTGCTTAACAAAATTATTAGGGGAGAAAGAGACAAATTTATGCATGCTGCTTAGCATCAGGGCTTAGGAGATCTGGCTTCAATCCCCTGAATTTGCTTTGATTTTGGTGTATCTGGAGTGTGGACAAACCCTTGCTCGCCTTAAACTAACTACAGTAGCTTGGCTACCAAAAGCAGTTTGACTGGAGCTCAGCTCGGGCTGCAAAACCCACCAAAGAAAATGCATAAATACTCCAGAGGTTAGCTTATGCTGATCTCTATACTGTCACTGCTTGGAGGCTACCAGTACCTGAGCTATGGAAGGCATTTCTACCCTGCCATCACTGCAGCATGCCCATGACCTTTGATCCCCAACAAACTGCCTACACTGAGATTTTCAAGCATAAACTCTTAAGTCAGGCTGTTAAATCCCACTTTTGGGCAACCCAAAAGACTCACTCTTCAAACATGCAGAGCACCCAGCAGTGACTGTTAGAAAAATAGTTGTCTGCAACCATGAGGAACTGGACTCGATGGCCTACGAGGCACCTTCCAGTCCTATAGTTAGTGGAAGATCCTAAACATTTGGCTCCTTTGACTGATCAGGTTGTTTCTTAGCCTCAGCTTCACACCTCTGAAATGGCAGCATCATCCTTCACCTGTTTTCACTATTTAGAGCAGAGGTAAGCAAAGTCCGGCTGGTAGGCTAGATCCAGCTGCCAGTGGACTCCATTTGCCAACAGACCCTGCCTGCACAGCTGGGGAGTTTCCATAGAGACCCCAGCAGCAGCCACCCTGTGATAGCATGAGGCTGTAGTTTCTATGGAGACAGACCCCAGCAGTGCTGGCAGGCAGCAGCAGCACCAGCCTCTTCCTGGTGGGGGACTGTGCTGTGGGCAGGAGTGGGGCAGGCTCAGCTGCCTCTGCCTGTGGAAGGCAGGCAGCAGCAGTGGAGGTGGTGCTGCAGGGAGGGGTGGCTATGGCCCTCCCAAACCTCACCTGCTGGCAGAGTGTGGAGATGCTCCAGAGCCAGGCTGCCATCTTACAGCGGGGGCCACATGGTCCAAAGCCAGGGCAGAGCCACTATCTGCAGCCTGCACACCCCAGGCAGGGACACGCAGGCAGCAGATTGCAGCTCTGCCCCAGCTCCACACCACACTGTTACCACTGCAAGGAGCCGAGGCAGAGCCATGATCCACTGCCTACACATCCCTGCCTGGGGTGTGCAAGCTGCAGATCACTGCTCTGCCCTGGGTCTGGACCATGCTGTCAATACCGAAACATCTCAGCCAGGCTCCAAAGCATCTCTACGTCCTGCCATGGACCTGCCAGTGCTGCTGGGGCTGGTCTCTATGGAAACCCCAGCCTCACACTATCACAAGGCGACTGCTGCTGGGGTCTCCATGGAAGCTGGCCCCACCCACACAGGTAGGAGCTGCTAGGAAATGGAGTCCGGCTGCTAGCCAGAGTGATCATTTTGCCCACCCCTGATTTAAAGCTTCCCTTCCTTGCACCAGCAAGGTCACACAAACTGCATACCTAGGGTAACTGGAGTGAGAGCAAACTCTACAAAACAAATGCAGGCCACCTAGAGGAACTGCGTCAGAAGGGTGCATGGATTAGGAGTTGATAAACTGTTATAACCGAGTTACTGCTGCATCCTCACTACATTGCCAACTTGATTGTCAGAAGCCTTCAAGCTTCAACCCACCCTCCTAAACACAGACAGGTCACCTTGCTTGAGTTTAAAGCTCCAGTTTACTCAAGTTAGTGGTTTGCATATGTGGATGGGAGTCAGGGTACAGGCAATCTCAAGTTAGCCATGCATTATACCTCAAACTAGCAATACAATGAAGCCAGCCCTTCGACCAGTTGTTCTGAAGGCACCCCTCATTAGATTCAAGGAACCCCGTGGAAAATATCAGATCTTAGTTTTCAATTGCTTTTCTGACTACAGAAAAAAAAAGAGAAAGTATTCTGTTTCAAAGAACTGAGAGAGACCATAACAGGTCATAATGCTTTTGACAGTGGGGATCCCTATTAAGTTAATCTTGTGAATCATGTCCACACACAATATCATGGTACCCTGGTTGAGAATCACCACTTTGGACTGCCTCTTCCAAGCAGAGATGCCCTCTTAACTCTTTGTCTGTGCAACAGCTGGTACAAGTGGGGCCTGTTGTTCTGTAATACAACTACAAACAGCGGCTAACAATGGATGATGTAAAGTCAAAAGAGCAGCTTCTATTCTTGCCCTTCTAGCCCCAAGTGTAGCAGGCAGAGCTATAATACCACATCTGGTCCATGAACCTTCCCCCTCAAAAATGTATATAAATACTGTTTCAGTGTATGAAATTTCAGCTTTTCATGGCAAAGACCTTCTTCTGTATTCACCCCCACAATTATGCCTTTGAATTGTACTTTTCCCCATTGTTAATAATTTTGACATTTTCTTTATATAGCGCTTTGACGTTGTATTTAAAAATAAAAATAGTTGAACCATAATTCTTAACTAAGAACACAGACCATCTGTACCTATGTATAAAGCATTATATTTGGAAAAGCATCAGTGATGTAATGTTGCATACATACTTCATGCTTGAAGTATATTATTCAGACGGAACAGAATTTTGTAAAAGGGATCAGCAACCGGCCACTCCCAATGAAGACAAAGCCAGGCCCAGAGAGGAGCTGAATTCTCCTGGCACTGCCAGCACAGTGGTAGGTGCTAAGAGTGGAGCACAGATCCATTGCTGTGCCTGTATCATAGAAGGGCAGGCTGTTGCACATAATACCACCAGTTCCAGTAATAGCTGCTGCTTCAGCTATGGAACAAATTGTTCCAAACCCTCTGTGATTAATAAAACAATGCCCCAAAATGATAAATATACTCTGTAAGTCCATGCACCACACCAATAACAGAAAACATCCCCTGCTGATAATATGCACTGAACTCAAGGAGAACAGAGTTGGGTTTCTTTAAAGAAAAGAAAAAAAAAGTTTCTCTTGTTTCAACCACCAACTTAGAGCACACCCTAGGGAAGCCAAGTGGGCATAGATTCTTCATTGCTTTTAGCCTTTATTGGGTAGTGGTGTTAGGGTAACTATGTGGATTTGGGATGTTGGGGTAACGATATGGATTTTGGGGAGTGTGGGGTGTGCAGCTGAATAAAAGTTTTTTTCTGTGTCTCAGCAAAAGCCACTGGTCACAAGGCTGGATGATATATTAAAAGCAACTAACTTTGCTAATGCTTAAGTAAGCAGATTCTTAACAAAAGGATAGGGTGCAAAGTGCATGATGTGTTGGGTAAAAATAGGATGCAACCCACCAGCTATTGTCAGGAGACAAAGCAGAAATATGGCCTTGGAGATGGTGCTGAATTTAGCAAGAAAACTACAAAGAATCAGTGAAAAACCACAAGTGACTGGAAGAAGATAAGGGCCAAAGTTTTATGCATGCACTTTTAGCAGAGAGGCATGTAAATAAATTAAATGCACATGCAATACTATTCCTATGCTAAGAAACCAAACAGTAAACAGAGGTGGAGCTTGAGATAGGAGGAGAAATGGGTGGAACTGAAGAAGGGACATAGGCAGGGTGAATATTAATAAATATGAACCAAGGTATATAAATGTTGGAAAGAACTATTGTTCAGGGCTGCTCCCCTGGTTTCACGGGCTGTGTGTCTGTGAGGGAGTGTGACAAAAGTATCACTATCGGAGCTCTTCCGGGGTGGTTCCGCCCTCCTGTAATGGGCCAGCCACCTGCTTACTCATCTGCCACACCTTGATCTTACTTGATTAGAATCAGTGGGAGGCTGCCCATTTTTCCGTGCCCCGGTGACAGGGGGAGCTACCTGCAGCTCCTTTTCCTCCCCTACACCGCAGCCCGAGCCTCGCAGATGGAGTTGACGTGGTTTGACCTGGGCCCTGTTATGTTCTGGCCCTCCTCTTTACTCCTGGGGCTCCTCGCTGCCCCCTCTCTCTCGCCCTGGAGCTCCTCGCTGCCCACCCCTTACTCTGAGGTTAGGGCCACTGCACCCCACAAGTGCTGCGCCCTCTCAGGCGCCAGGAACCCCTACACTACTGGGGAGCCCCTATGAGGCCTCCTCCAACCCCTAACAGCCTCACCCGGTCCTCCGGTCAAAACAGTAAACATAAAACATAAAGCCCCTAGGCTACAACATAAAACTAGACTGTCCAGTCAAACAAAATCTACTCCCTACTAGAGAGTGAGGGAGCTGGGGGGAAGGAGGGCTTCCCAACCCCAGCAGCGACCAGGGGATGCTCTCACTGCCAGAGTCCTCCCCTCTGTCTGTCCAAGGGGAGTCCTTACTCCCACGGCTGCTAGAGAGGGACTGCCCTCCTGGCCTCCTACCAGGGCTTAAGAAGGGATAAGCCCTGCCCCTTCCTGTCAGCTGGTTTTACCAGTTGCCCCGGCAACCACCACCTGTGCAGCCGTGGTGACTGGCAGCTGAGCCTCCCCCTTTCTGCCACTAGGAGTCTCCCCAGAGCAGTCTCCGCTCTCAGGCACAGGGCACATGAGTGCACTGTGGCAGGGAGCTTGCCCAAAGCTGTCTCAATTCTGAATAAAGCTGTTGCGAGCAATGTGTGCTGGTGTTTGCTCCCTGCTTGCTCTAGCTAATGAGTACCAGGATCCATGAGCAATTGGACCATCATCTCCCTAGTCATTGGGTGCTGCATAGAGTCAGGGTCTAACAGGTAGGTCCATAAAAGGACTTGGGTCCCTAACATGGGACTTAGAAAGAACTAAAGAGCCTCAGTCCAAAATTACCACCTTGAAAAGCCCAGCTTAGCTGCCATCTAAAATGGAGAGGGTCCTAAGCACCACAACTGTCATTTAAATGGGGAGGGTCCTAAACTCCACAGGCATCTCCACTTTCAACCTTACTTGCCCCAGTTCTGCTTTGTCTATGCTCAGAAGTGCCTCAATCTTGGCAGGGTTGGACAGCCTCATTCTGACACCTTGTCAGGACCTAGAAAGGATGTAATGTGGTGCTCCACTTTTAAATGACAGCTCAGTGGTTAGAAAAGGGAAAAGGGAGATTACCAGCTGTCTCCTGCTGAAGACTGGAAAATAATTCCAGATTAATTAGAGGAGTAGAGAGAAAAAAAGAACAAGACTACGTAGCCTAGTGGTTATGATGCACACCTGAGAAAGGAGGTGCTAGATTTAGCATATATTTGCTAATGTATGCAGTGAATGACCACAGACAAGAGAAATTATCTGGCTTGAGAGCATTTGTGCATTAAGGATAGAATATGGATTATTAGTATACCATCTGATACCACATGAAGCCTCTCAAATCTGAAGTTAGTGAAACTCAGTAAGAACTGGCATAGAAACCAAAGCCCTTCCAGGGTTTTTTCAAGGATACTGTTCATTGTTTGACTTCGAAAAGCTCTTGGTTAGATCTCTGAGCCTCCTCAATGGAGGCCTTCATTCCATCATTCTCCAGCTTCTCAGTGAACATTGCAAAACAGCAAATGTTCAACAGTGAGCTCTAACTACAGTCTGGAGTTACAGTCTGCTCGAGGGCCTGTTTTAGTAAGTTGGTGTCTATGGCTGAGTCCTAGGGCTCACACAACATAAACGATGATGATAGGTCTTCTCTGTCTCTATTAGCTTCATTTACTACCTGCTCTGTACCATACAGATTGCTAAGATAATAAACATGCTGCACTCTTTGGGGAACTTGGCATTTGTGGACATTATTTCCAACCTTCAGACACTAGGCAATATGCCTGCTATAGATTTCTGCTACCCTGAAAATTACCTAATGTTTAACTTTCAAGCAATGCTACAGAACAACCTCCTTTCCTCCCCTCTCCCTTCTTTCAATGGAAAAGCCTGGGACAGAAATTATTTAGAACTGAAAAGGAAAGGTTCCTGCAATGGTGGTCCTTGAGTGCTAAAGTCTGAGGAAGGCTCCAGTTAACAGCCTTGTGGGGAAACATCAGAATCATCTGAACCTGTTTTTGTTTGAGCAACAACTATTCTTTGGGACATCCATAAGTTTGTGGAAGGGACACATTTAGTTTGCAAGTAAGGCATTGGTTCTTGTCCTCAAGGCCTGATCCCCTGACATTTAACATGAGAGCCAGAGTTACTGCTCTGCTGCACATGTCTCCATGGAGGGTGAGTGTTATAGGAGGGAAAAGACAGATGTGAACTATCCTGGTCCAGACAAGTCTGCATTACATAGGGATTCAAGAGGCCTGAATCCTCTTCCCAGCTTTACCACTGACCTGCCATGTGACCTTGGACAGACACTTCAGCTCTGCACGCTTGTTTTCCACCTTCACCTCTTACCTATGTAGCCCAAAAATCAATTTGGGGGGCAGGAGATGTCTCTTACAATATGGTACCAAGCACAATGGGACTCTGATCTTGGCTGAAGTCACCTGGTACAGCTGTAATAAAAGCAGCAGGAGCTGCATCTGACTCAAGGAACAAGTTTTCTCTTTGCTTGCAAGCAATTCTCCCTCAGCAGAGGAATCTCATTAGGCCACCCACCATGCAATCTTTCACTAAGCACTGTTAATTGCCTATAATTGACATCAGCCACCTGTTCATTGAGCACAGCTACGGGCATTTAACTCCCTGGCACCAGTGTTTTCCTGTCTGTCCGTTTCTGCCAAAAGCAGTTTCCCCAAAAGCCTTGACTGCCAGCATTTGGAAATCGAAGGAAGCTCATGACGACACAGCATTTGGATTCTTCGTTATCCCAGAGGACACCAGAATGGAGAGAAGTCACTTGGCTCTGACCAAGAGCATAGGTCTGGCAGACTTTGTCAATGAGACAACCAGAAAAGCCAAGCAAAGGGAGATACAGGACTGATCCTTTGTGTGCTCCTGAATATGGAGATATAATGGGTGGATTTTCATAAGGGTTCATGCTGTTCACATGCTAGAAATTCAGTTGCAGGCAGAAATGGAAACATAGCAGGGAAATAAGTGCACTCCCATGTTGCCAGAAGGAGGTGGATAGTCATACCCACACACATGCCAATAGATGGTAGACGAATGTGCTGTGACACTAAGCAGCTAAGGCCTGGATTGTTGCCATGACAAAGACTCCAAGGGTCCTAGCTGAAAGGTGGCAGCTCAGTAAATAGTCAGATATTACTTATTCACTACAAAAGTAACCAAGTGACATCTCTCCATATACAGTGCCATATAGTTTTATACCACAGTTACTGTTGCTTAGAGGTAGCTGAGTGGCCAAAGGCCATTGTTCTCATATCAGCCTTAGGAACAACCTAAACTGAGCTCAGTTCTCTTCCAGAACTCAGTCATGTCAAAAAGTCAGAGGATTTTCTCTTATGACCCATCACATGACTCCTGTTGCTAGTACTCTGTATAAAATACTCTTTCTTGTTCAATAGATTTCTCTGGGCTGGAGGGGGTCTCCCATGATTTATTTTTATCCAGGTTTACAAAGATTGTCTGCAATCATGGTCAAAGTGTTGAGCTTTCTGAGCAGTCCCAGGAAAAGCATGCATGATGACCACATTATTTGCAGCAGAGGCTATGATTGCTTGAATTTGATTTCTGAGGGACACGTGATTACTTTCTGCTGGAATTCTCTCAAGGATGAAGGAACAAGATGTACATACAGATAGTGGGGAAAATGAGAGAGAGTGCTACCATGCTCTGGCTAATTCTGCATAGATCTTTTTTCATGAATGCGTGCCTCGAGTAGACTTTGTCTTTGTTAATTCTCCAACTAGCACTACTCCCAAAGAGGTTACTGTCAAGAGTAAGCAGGATGTTGATGGACCACCAGTAACTGAACTGATTCCCCTTCGTTTAGTTGCAAGAGGAAGTCCTGGGTCTCTTCCCTCCATCTCATCAACTTGCATATGCATTTAGAAATAATGCACGATTGCACTGACCCCTTCCAGTCCATTGACTACAAGAGTATTACAAAATTACTTTAATGCATATCTACCCAATGGACCAGAACGATTCATTTTGCCACATGAGTATGCATTTTAAAAAGTTGCTTACACCCAGGTTACACCAGCTAAGCCAGGGAGGAAAAAAAAACCCTATAAGATGCACATTAAAAATCAAACTAATTATCTATGTACCCAAGAGATTTACATTACCACTGTAACCTTTTGTTAAAGGAAGATGGGTGCCTTTTCTGAGAGAGAAAGAGAGAGAGAGAAATATGCAGGTTTCCCTCGCTTTATGGGGGTTGTGTATGTGTGTATTTGCTCTCATGCAATGACCCTTTTTATACCAAAAATTCATTATATGCAAGGTAAAATCTCTCTTATGTTATTGGTGTGGTGGAAGCCTGCAGTCAGCTGCTTTGTGTGGTGCATTGTGGGAGTGACACACACCAAACTGTCTCCTGCATGGATCTGTGCTCCTCGCTCATTGCCTACGACATGTGTTTCCATAGTTGCCATCCCCATGATGGCTTCTAAGCATCCCACTAACTTATCTCCTACCCCTCTCCCTGATCCATCAATGAAGTGCAAGACAATTTCACTAACACTGAAGACAAAACTGGAGATTTTGAACCATGCAGAAGCTGGTGAGGGGCCCTCTGCACTTGGCCGTGCATTCAACCTGGGTGAGTCAACCATACGTGCCATCAAGAAGAATTCTACAACATAAAGGGTTCTGTGATCCATTCTACACCACTTAGTGCCAAGGTAGCAACGAGACCAAGGAACTTGCAGTTGGAGAAGATGAAGAATATGCTGGGGGTGTGGGTGGAAGATCAAACCCAGAGGAAGATGAATCTTTCCTCCACTGAGATAAGGAGTAAGGCCCCGCAAATTTATGGCTGCCTGCTTCAAAACAATGATGGCTCTGAAAAGCCCTTCATGGTAGGGCTGTGCAAAATTTCACCGGGCATTTCGTTTCAACTGGTTTTGAGCTCAAAACAGCGAAATCGAAATGAAAGGTTTCAAAACAGCCTTGAAATAAAACGGGGGCAGTCAAAACATTTCAGAAGTTTCAAAACATTTTAAGTTTTGAAGCTGGGCTTGCTTGCAGCTAAAGAGAAACTAAGGAGAGGGAGGGGAAAGAGGGGGGAAGGACTGCTCTGGCATTGACTGTGATCCTTCCCTGAGGTTCCTTCCAATACCGGTGCTCTGGGGGAGGAATGGAAAAACAGCTGCACCTTAACACACAGTCACACATATCATGAGTTTTGCTTGCCAGCAGCTTGAGGTACAGTTTCTCAGAAACCCCCTGCACCTATCTCCTTGAAACCTGGCAGGCTTCATGGCCTCAGAAGGGGCTACCACGCCTGCTGTTTTCACTCTGCCGTGCCTTAACAGTCACACATGACACAAGTTTTGCTTGTCAGCAGCTTGAGGTGCATTCCCCCAGAAACCCCTGCACCTATCTCCTTGAAACTTTGCAGGCTTTGTGGCCTCAGCAGGGGCTACCATGCCTGCTGTTTTTGTCCAAATCTGCCAAGAAATGACAAGGTTATAGGCAGTTTTGTGCTTCTCCATTATAGCCTACGGGCAAAATGACAAAACAGTTTCAACTAAATGAAATGGAACAGCGCTTCGAAATGAAACAAAACAAAACTTGAAACAAAACACTGTCCCATTGAAACGTCGAAATGGAAGTCGAAACAAAATGGTGCCATTTCACACAGCCCTACATGGCTAGTAAGAGCTGGTTTGACAAGTTCCTTCAGTGTATGAACTTCTACAATGTTAAGATGATGGGGAATCTGCAAGTGCTGATCATGAAGCTGCTGCAAAATTTCCTGAGGGGCTTCAAGCAATCATAGCTACCTAGGGGTACAATCCTAAGCAAGTTTTCAATGCAGATGAGACCGGGCTGTTTTGGAAGTGGATGCTATCTAGGACATACATCCCCAAGGAAGAGAGACGGTTGCAAGTGGGTCAAGGCAGCAAAGGACAGGCTGACTGTTCTATTGTGCAGCAATGCTGCTCGCGATTTTAAGTGTAAGCCACTGATAATCTACCACTCCCTAAACCCATGTACATTAAAAGGACTGAGTAGGAGCATGTTGCCTGTACACAGGGCTGCAAACAAGAAGGCATGGGTAACAGGCTAAGTTTTTTAGGACTGGTTCACTCAACATTTTATCATGGAGGCAGAGTGCTACTGCAGGGAAGCTAACCTTGTGTTGAAGGTGTTGCTCATCCTTGACAATGCTCCTGGGCCCCCTAAACACCTGGAAACTATCAACCCGAATGTGAGAATCATTTTCCTCCCCCCTAACATGACTTCACCAATTCAGCCTCTTGATTAGGGCATGATATCAACATTCAAGGCCTACTACACAAGAAGGAGCATTGCCCAGCTGCTGGAGGATACTGATGGATCCAACAAGCCAACAATCCGTGAATGGTGGAAGGCATATAATGTTTGGATGCCACTGACAACATTAAGGCTTCATAGGATTAAGTGAAGTCCACCACCATAAATAGTGCTTAGAAGCCAATCTGAAAGGAATGTGTTATGGACTCCAAGGGCTCCCCCAAACTGTGCACAGCTACTCAAGAGGTTATTAATCTTGGACAGGAGATGGAAGGAGATGGCTTTTCAGACCTTGAGGAGGCAGACGTCATGGAGCTCATCAATTCTCACAATGAGGAGTAAGTGTTGACAAACTGAAAGAGATTGCAGCTACTGATGAGGAAGAGGAGCGGGAGCAAGAGGTGGTCCTTGAGGTCAAGGATATGACTATGAAGAAGATGGCAGAGTTTTTTGCATAGGCTGAGAGACTTGCTCAGTTTGCCCTGGATATGGACCCTAGTCTGGACAGGAGCCTGCAGTTCAGGTGTGGTTTGAACTCCCTCCTTGGTCCCTACAAGGAGGTGTATGCCCAGACCCAACAACTGGCAAGGCAGTGCACCATGTTCCAGTTCTTGAAGCCTCACTCAGCTACCCCCAGGCCCACCTCACTGGTGTCAGAGGATGATGAGAGCCCTGTTCCTGTTGATTCTCCTATGGATGTTACCCTGCCTCTGCCTCCTACCAGTGACGTGGAGTCTGATATTGAAAACCCCTTACTACCCTCTCTTCACATCAAGAAAACATTCACCACCACCCTGTGCTTGTATGAGCTGTTGACGAGTACCAAAACTGTCTTGTAAAAGTGGTAGAAATGGGTCTGGGGGGTCAGTACAGTCAAGGTCTTGTAAAGTGGGTTCCCTTTATGCAAATTCGAGTTATGCACCATTTTCCAGGAACGCATGTACAGCATAAAGTGAGGGAAACCTATAAATAATAAAAAGCAGACATGATTAATTTTTATGGGGATGTTGGCAATTGCCAGAAGCTAGAAAATTCACAATTAAGCTACCTTTGACCTTTGACTTGATGCCCACGTGAAACCAGAAACCATCTCCCAGCCCTGACTATATCCCAGCCCTGACTATATGGACTTGAGTCCCTGACACTTTGGAGAAAGCATATATACTTGCCTACTTATCACCTCTTTAAAGTTGATGAGCATGGATGTTTTGGGTGCTAGTCACACCTTTTACTTCACCCTCCACTCCATTCATGGCCAGGGTAGATGAGCTGGCATGGATAGT